TAAAAAAAAAAGAAGTGGTGGTATTGCCAGAGTCCAGAAGCTGGGATCATACATAATGAGATCACAGGAGGAAGGTTTTTGAGTCAGAGCCATGAAAGACATGCCACCTGAGTAAGAGAGAGAGAGAAGGAGGGAGGGAGGAAGGGAGAGGGAGAGGGAGAGGGAGAGGGAGAGGGAGAGGGAGAGAGAGAGAGAGAGAGAGAGAGAGAGAGAGAGAGAGAGAGAGAGAGAGAGAGAGAGAGGAAGAAACACCTTTCTTTTTCCTTGGTTTATTAAAAAAAATAAGAAAAGAAAAAAGAAAAACTTCCAGAATAGAAGCTGTTGGTGTATACACTCTTTTAGCCATCTCAGTTTAAAATAACTTCACTGAAACCTAGTTAACTATCAAGACATGACCAATGTTTGTGTTCATTCTTCACATGCAACTGTTTCCAGGGTGATCTGAATGCATTTGGCCCATAAAACTTTTATGCTCTTATAGACCAGGGAAGAAAAAAATTTTCATAATTTCACTTCAGAGGATTTTAGCAAGTTTGACTGTCACCATTTTACAGTCTGTATTGTTTTAAAAAAACTCAATCCCAGAAATTACATTGACCAAATCATTTGGCCTTTTCTACACCACCCTCCTTTTCTGTTTCATCTCTAAAACAAGGGGATGGGGTGGGAAAACAAGTCCCTAGTAAATTGTAGAATGAAATAGTAACAATGTATTCTACAAAATGACCTGCATATTACTTCAAATATCTTAAGTTTTTCTGATCCAAAAAGATTAAAAACTAACTCCCAAACTGATGGCAAACATACCTCAAGAGTGTACTTCTGCATGAAGCCTGAAATACAGTATTCACTACCACTAAATGTGCTGTAGTGTTACACATAGTAAACATGTGAAACAAGGAACATGTGGTTTACAAACATTTGCTGAGTGTTTTGGGGGGAAAAGGAATGTATCATTTTCATCACTCAGAAAAGAGCAAAGAAGAAAATCCATGCCTCCGATAAACTTTAGAGAATGGATAAACTGAAGGCATACAGCTATTTTAAGGTAACAAAAATCACTGCAAATATCTAGCAGTATGCTGATATGCTAAATGACAGGCTATTGCTGTAGGATTTGTCAACTATTTCACTGTGGTAGTTAAAACAATTTCAACCCATAGCCCTTTAGGCACACAGATAAGAAATGCATCTTTAGTAAAAGATGCAGAGTTACAGGCACTGGACTGTCTAATTTAGGTATTTTATTAACATTTATTTTACAACTAATTCCTACAACTAAGTTCTGTATTGCCTCCAGCTGGGTTTATTTCTCTGCTCTCCATCCCCAAATTCCTAAAGCTTATTTCACAGAGGCACGTGGCTCTCATCCCTTAAACACAGATCGGTGGCAGAGTGATGGCCCCCTCATCTCAAACTTACGGTTAATACTGGGACAAGGAGGCAGGACAGGTTTATAGCCTGTAAGAATACTGAGAATCAAGGCAAAAAAAAAAAGTTTCACAGGCAGTGTTTACTTGTGCACCCTAAAACAGCACTTAAAACGAGGTAGATAAACAAAAGTAACTGGACGGGAACTAACTCTGGGGTTCTAAAATGATACATCCCATCATACTGTACACTCAATACATTCTTCACTCAATCTAAAATTCGCAGTGGAAAAGTGCCTTTTAAACTTTCACAGATAGTTTTGCTGTCAAGCCATTAGAGTTCATGCTCAGTATAAAATTTGTAAGAAAAGGATGGAAAAACTGAATGGATAGTTTTTATATTATAGCAAATTACCTTAAATAGAGATTCAGGACTGCTACAAATATACACAGTGTAATTTCCATTAGATTTACACCAATACTGGTTTCATGTTCTTATGATGTTACACCCAACTACAAAAACATAGCAGCAGGTATTTCATGATGAAATGCTCACATTACCACATATGGAGATACAGTACTATTCATCAGACTTGCACTTTGAGAAGTAAACATGGTGGTTGGACATACAGACCCCCCCCCAATAAACTTTATAAGCAGGATGGCTTAATACAACCTTTTCTCTTCTACAAGAAGGAAAATGAAAATGACAGTTTGTACATTTTTTTTTGAGGGGGGAATGGGTAGAAGGCCCTTGTTATACAGTAGGTTCTTTGTTAAGAAAGAAGGGAATTTCTGAGCTTTACCCCGAGAACTAATTATTTCTGGGTTGGAAAAGTACCTCAGCAAGGATGCAAACTGCACTATTACATGATTTAGCAAAAGTTATGAAATAATGCAAAATCCCTAGATAGAAGACTAGCCAATATTTACAGTCAAACTGACTATAAGCTGAATCAAACATTTAAGTAATGAGAAAAAAAATAAAAACCCACAGTGATGTGAATAACACTGTTTTCTTCATTTCTGCACAAACTCAGTTTTTTCTGTATTTTTAAACTTACACACATTACATATACATAATGTATATATAACATATATGTTCACCCAACTACTGCAGTCAGCATGGAGACAGCAGTACATTATTCACCAACTTCGAACTTTAGACTACTTTTCTTTCCAGCAAAAAATCTGAAAAGATTCTAATTATTACAAGGCACTGCAAAAGTCTGCAGGCAAACGAATGATGAATTATACATAAAACAGGTGGTGGCAAAATGTGGGACATGTGATATAGAGCAGTCATTAAAAAACATAACTCTGCATGTCATCCATGGAGCTTTTCTCATCTTGGGGGTACACTGTCTAAAAGGATTGTGACTATAGAAGAAGGGATCTTAAAACCTGCAGCATTTTCACTTTATAGGTTATAAGTCTCAATTTAATCACACAAAGCCAACTCTTATAATGAAACGAGTACTTTTAAAGAATTAACAAGTTTTAGGCACATTGTTTTTGTATACATGGTAAAATAAACACTGGAATGCAAGCATTTGCATTACACTAATGTCCTAAAATTACTTCAACTTTCAAACCAATACTGTAGAAGAAATTTTAAGAATCTGTACATAAGATTTAGAAAGATTCATCCAAACTAGAGTGTTTTAGTAAAAGAAACTTTGGCTCTTACAAACAGCAGTTCTCAAAATGCTGCCCTACATGCCCCAAATGATAGTGACAGAATCTTTATGATGTTGAGTGTGAACTTCAGGTAAGTATAAGACACTTTTTTTTTTGAAAAAGGGTACTGAATATCTCAAAGTAAACTGTGAAGAAAGAAAGAAAGAAAGAAAGAAAGAAAGAAAGAAAGAAAGAAAGAAAAGAAAGAGAAAGAAAGAAAGAAAAGAAAGAGAAAGAAAGAAAAGAAAGAAAAAGAAAAGAGAGAGAAAGAAAGAAAGAAAAAAGAAAGAAAGAAAGAAAGAAAGAAAGAAAGAAAGAAAGAAAGAAAGAAAGAAAGAAAGAAAGAAACGAAAGAACCAACACCTATTAAATTTTCTTCATTACCTGGCAAGCTGATGAGGTAAAATTTTTAGTAGAATATGGAAGAAAATCTGTTAACAGAAATGTTGGGTAATAATTTAGAATGTGTACCCGTAGACAGAACTTGTTATTAAGGGAAATGAGTGCTAGAAACGACCTTGAAATCATCAGAGGGAAAAGTAAGTATTTTAAATATGTATATGTAGTGGTTGATAAATATCACTTAAGAATTCTACTTGGGTTTCACAGACTGAGCATTAAGTAACTCTGTGAACAGCCTTTTAAGATCATTATAGTTAACCTTCTTGAAAACTGAAAGTGTTTTTGACATTGCCTCCCCTCCTCCTACAACTGGATAAAACCCAGTAAAGTGCAACTTGACAGTGATATCTCTCTCAGATTCTAAAGAGGCTGCTAAAATCATCTAAGATCTAAAAATAAGATGCTATAGATACTAACTAGAAATTATAACAACTAAAAAACGGTAATAAAAAATCAAAAAGGTAAGGGCAACTTAAATAGTATACTTCAAGGGTCTACTATTTCACTGCAGGACAGTGTATACCCCACATCTCTTAGAACCCTGTAAAGCCAGTGTTTCATGTTTAAGTCTTAAAACCTACAAAACCTACTGTGTCAAGTAAATTTCACTTGGGAAGAATGGGTCAATAGAGGTGTAACTTGAATCCTCTTTGTTAGGGGATTCAAGTGTTTGGGGACAAAGATTCCCCACAAATGAGATCCTTTTCAGCTTCAATATATCCCTTGCAAAAGAATGCAAGCCAAACCAATGCCTCTCAGATGCTCAAAAACAATGTAGTGTGCACAAGATAAACAAGGAGATAGCTGCTTTGAATTACTAACAAAATCCTAAAACAGCTACAGTATTTGCAGAATCAAGGAACTGTTACAGTTCTGTTTTTTCCTTTCTTTCCGCCTCACCTAAAACAAAGCTTCACTCCTACAGCTGTGACGACGGGAAGAAAATCACATTTAAAAGGGCTTGTGTTCTATATATTGGTTGACAAAGTTATTCTAATTTTATATACCAAAATGTTTCCTGCAGCATTACCCTGCCTTCTGTGAAAGGTAAACCTAAGATAATCATGTTAAGAATCCCATAAGACTCCAGCTGTTGGATGGTCATACTTCATCCGCATTTGGGGAATATCAATTTAAATAGTTTTTTCATACATTTTAAAGAAAAGTATCATCCAGCTGCAGACAGCAGCAGTAAAAAAATGGAAGCTTTTCAGCAAATCATGGAAAGTGTCCTGGAAATGGTAATGCTCAAGCCGAGCTTATTTAAAGCATTCTCAACAGTATTTTTAAAAAATCAAGTATCAAAAAGGATAGGATTTGAAGTGAAAAAACATTTCTGTGTGCAGTGTTCTATGTACAAACTGCACAGTTCTACAGAATGATGAACTACATCAAATACTACATTGGAACAACAACAACAAAAATACAGTGGAAAGTAAACTTAAATGATGGAAAATATGGCAGAACCCAAGAAGAGGAGTGTAATATCTTAGGTGTCCCAAAATATTTCTGAAAAATAAATCTCCCTGTTCTTCATCATCTACTGATTCACTTGGGACCAGGAGGGATGGTGGATGGCTTCTGCACTGATGAGGCTGGAAACGCCTGCAAACTCATCCCCAGCTGGAACGGCCCCCCAGATTGGGTAGGAATCACTAAAGGCTGTTGTGGTGCTCCTGAGATTCCTACCCACTGTACTGGATACCCTGGCCCCCCCACAGCATTATACTGACAAACAGGGGGCATTCTGTATGATGACAATGGCCCAGGAAACGAAGAGAGTGGAAGTCCTTGTGGCAAGGAGGTTGGGACAGCTCCGCGGATTTGGGACAGAGAAGAAATCCATGTTGGTGTGTAGCCCAGAGTAGATGGAATATTCTAATGAAAACAAAAATAAAAACAAAAGATCAGTTTATTTGGCAGATGCTTTTATCCATCTATATTCCTTCCTATTCTTTTTGGCTAACTACTCCATCATTACTATGAGTGACTACCATTTTTGCAGCACCATTCTGTGTGCTAAGCATAGTTACATACCTCATCCATTTGATCTTCCTAACTGCCCTGCATGGTAGGCATTTTCAGATGAGGAAACAGAAGCTTAACACCTAACAAACACACTGTGCAAATTAATAGGTGAGGATTTGAACACAGTTCCAGCTAACTCCAAGGCCCCTGCTTAAAAAAATCTCTGTTCATTTTAGTGTCTCCTTTCCTCAGTCTAGCACTACTTTTCTATTTTCTTCTGCATTCTCTTATTCGGCACCACAGACAACAGCCCATCTTATTGCAGTACATAATTTTTTGGAGACAGAGCCTGATATAATGTGGCATGGGGAAGAGCCTGGCATATAGTAGGTGCTTAAATGTTACCACCCTACCCTTTTCTACTTGCTATCTCAAATAATTCTGATATTACTGTTATATTTTTGGAAATTTACACTCAAGACAATTATGTTTTGGCAGTATTGAAAAAATAGATTCCTGACTGACTCTTTTTATCATATTGTATTATAATTATGCATATGTATACTGAAATCTTATGTGTATGGGAATAATAAATCTAGTGGAAGTAAGTAATTCTCACTTAAAGGAAAACTTGGTATCAGCCCCAAATGCTTAGTTCTTCCAGATTGAATGATCAAGCTAAAACCTGTTCAACTAAACTTTCAAACTAAAGTCAGGGTACTTGAGCTTGAATCAAGAATAAATGACAATGATCTCTTGAGGTGAAAAAAAAACCACATTTATTTACATTTCAGCAATCCCTTCTTCATATCAGTGTTTTTTTTCTGTTCAAGTAAAATTTAATTTAGCCCTGGCTGCGGTGGCTCGGTGGACTGAGTGCTGGCCTGCAAACCAAAAGGTTGCTGGTTTGATTCCAAGTAGAGGGCACATGCCTAGGTTGTGTGCCAAGTTCTCCAGCTGGGAGCGTGCAAGAGGCAGCTGATCGATGTCTCTCTCCTTCCCTTTCTCCCTCCCTTCCCCTCTCTCTGAAGATAAATAATAAAATATTTAAAAAATTAAATTTAATACTTCTGATTCAAAACAGCACATGTAGTATGATTGCATTTTTAGAAATGTATTCCCATGTATCCATATAGACACAGAAAGATACCTGAAATGATGTTCATCTAAAGTCAATGACAAATTATTTCTGGGTGGTGAGATTTAAAGGCATTATTTTAAAAGTTGTACTTTTCTGCACTGATTAAACTCTATAACAAACATTATTTTACAAATAATAACAATGTGACTTTTATTTTTAAAAGACTGAATTGGAGATGACCTATTATACTTAACTTCTCTTGGCTATTTCAAAAGCATCTCAGATTCAAATGACCAAAATCAAACATGTGATCTTTCCTCTACCAAAACACACTGCCTGTTCATGCTCTCCATTTTGGTGATTGGTATGGTAGAATGATAGACACCTCCCCTCTGCCATACCTTCATTCCCGCACTAAATATGGTCCATTTTTATCTCTTAAACATTTCTTGGAATCTGTTCACTTCTTTCTATCTCAACTTCTCTTTATCTGAACTACTATGACTAAATCTTAATTGTTCTACCAATATCTACCCTTACCCCCAATATCCTTGTTTTATGCTTTAAGTCAGAGTGATCTTATCCAAAAGCAAATCTGATCATGTCAACCCTAAGATTTCAATGTCTATCCATATTCCTCAAAATAAAGACAAAATTCCTTATCATTATCATTTTTAAACCCCTACCTACCTCCTTAGATTGACTGTGCACCAATTCCTCTCTGCTCTCTTTCACTTAAACCAAACTGGCCTACTTTCAGTTCCTTCGTGCTCCTTTTCCCCATACAATACTTTTGCATATGCTGTCCTTTCTGCTTGGAATCATATTCCCTCCTCCTTTCACCCAGTTAACACCTATTCATCCTTAAGATCTCTGCTCAGCCATCACTTTTTCAGGGAAGCTTTCCTTGACTTCCCTTTACTAGGTCAAATGTCCCTTACTATATCTCCGTGTAGTCCTTATTACAATGCCAATTTTATATTTATTTATACAAGTCTATTCACATCTAACTGTCCCACCAGAGTATAAGTTCCATGAGAATAAGTTCCAGAGTATAAGTTCTTGCTCAGTAACTCAGTGCCTAGCAGAGAGCTTGGCACATAGTAAAGGACCTCACACATAATTGTGACAACATTTTCAAAGTAAGGCTACAGAACAGGAACATGCAAGAATATCCGATAGTGAGATGGGCTCTCCACACAAAAGCAGAAGCAACTGAATCTAAAAATAGTTACCATATAGGGTACTATCATGTGCTATGTATTTTACAGGTGTTACAGCAACCCTGCAAGGCAGGTAGGTATTATCCTTGATCTAAAAACATGAAAACTGAGGCACAAATGACTTGTCTAAAGTCACACAACTAGTAAACGACTGAGCTGACACCAGAACCTAAGTCTGTTTAAAGACCTTCACCAACTTCCTTCTTACTCCATTTTCTACTGATTCTTCCTTCAAATATGCCCCATTACACTGCAGTTAACCACCTTCCTACTACCAGTCAACAAAAGCCTCCATTCACAAAGTACTGAGATGTCTGAATGGCATCACAAATGTATTTATGCCTTGAAATTTGCCTCTAAAGGCTTCCAATTTTCACAATGGTGATACTATCTGTGTATAAATAGGTGCCAGGAGTAAGGTAAACATACAGAGCCCTGAAAAGCATATACTTTGCTCAACAGTTTGAGAAATCTAGGCATTTGAAAATTTTTATTCAATGTCAACACTAAATGTATTTTCAGAATTTCTTTACCAAACTATATGTAATGACTATATATACACACATACATATATACAGACATAACACACAAACACACATGTATCTTTTTTAATAATGATGGTACAGATTCGAAGCCCTGATTCACATTTTAATAGATTTACAAATTGTGAAAAAATGGTACTTACTTTAAAACTTCAAACACAGAAAAGTACAAATTAAATAAGGCCCACATCCCACCATCCAGCATACTGTTAATGGCTTTTCCTATTCCTATGGACATACACATATATCTAATATAGACAATTATACACAAATACCACACACACACACACACACACACACACACACACACACACTCTGCGAGACTCTATTCTCTCCACTCCAGAATTCACTGTGGACATTTTTCTGCATTTCAAATGCATGTATACCTGGATAAGGCCATATGCAATTAAGTAGGCATTGTGTCCATAAACTTAAAATGTCTTTTAAAACATTCCAGCTTAGAGAGCATTAAAATTGTTTTTCATACTGAATAAGGTAGCTTATTGGTTCTAAGAATGCTGATGTATACCATAAGGTAGCTTCTTCTGAAAACCCAAACTCTTCTTTTACCATAGGATGGAATTAACTAACCATCACTCCAGATGCTTTCCTTTTTGATATTTGACTTTTTTTAGATATATAGTCTAAAACAGGGGTCAGCAAGCTAAACCCTTCCACCTCTTTTGCAAATTGAATTTTAATGGAACGAAGCCACATGTATTATTTATGTATCATCTATGGCTGGCTGCTTTTGTACTACAATGTGATTGAGTAGTTGCAACCCCAAAGCTTGAACATAATCACTGACAACTTCCCAGAAAAAGTCTGCTAACCCCTGGCCTAAAAGATAATTTGTTTAAAGATACAGTAAATCTAGACAAGGGAAAAAAATCAATATGCTGTCAAGTCACATCACTCTATCAATAGTAACTGTAACCTTACGCCTAAGCGAATCAATTTTTATGATTTTAATTCTTATAAATAAAGAGGATCGGGTATAAACAACTTACTTCATGTACCTTATTCCAGTTATCTGCCTCTAATTTGTGTTGACTCTGCTTAAGTTGGTTTAAACTTGGCTTAATAAGAGAATTTCCTACTGTTTCCTTTGTCCAGTCATCCACCAGTTTGTGTAAGTCATCTGTGAACATCCCTTTTTTATTAGCTGAAGATTGCTGGCATGATGTTGTATTACTCTCCACACATAGTGGATCTATAAGAAAAAAACAGGGAAACCATGAAAAGGAATTAAAAGTGATGAATAAATAATCTTCCTTGGACAGCAATGCAACTGATAGGATAACCAGACATTCTAGTTTAACTTGGTGAAGCTTTGGTTTAAGGCTGTTGTCCTAGATTAGTTAATTACTAATGGTACTACTTTCACTCTCAAAAGTTTCCTCATGTTTGGATGGCAGGTTATATGGTCACCTTAGGTATAAATCAAATACAATAAATAGTATTTCTTAAAAATTAGCATAAACCCTACTCTTTTCATCAGTTTGCTAAAATAGATACTTAGAAGAGTTTTTAAAAATCTTATGATGTTAAAAGTAGAAAGAACCTTAGAAATCTAACCCAAACCATTTGTTTTAGAATGGGAAAATGAGGCCCAGAAAAACTGACTTTTCAGTAGACCTTACTGACTTGCAATAAGCTTCAGAAAACTAGAATTCCATTTAATTTTTAACTGATATTTCTGTTTGTTATGGATAAAAAAATGTGTATCTAGATAGCAGAAACAAGGATGCAGATAGTTTACAAGCTTCATGGGGTTGGGAGGACAAGGTGTCCAAAAAGTTGAAAGAAATAAATTACAGGTATCTCCATCACTGAAAAAGTTTTAAATCTGAACATCACACTAAGTCTTGAAATTATTTAGTACTTATTAACCAATGTCACTCCAATGAATTCAATAAAAAGAAAAAAGAATACTATAGTACTATTATACAAGCTTACTAAATCATTCACATAGAAAAGATTCATGAAGTTCTAATTCCTCTGACTGACTGCAAGCCAAAACTTACAGTCTAAAATAAATACTAGGAAATAAAGTTGTGAAATTTAGGCACAATAACATTTCCAGGGATTTATTTTAAAAAGCATGTGAAAATTTCTTGTATATTATGGTACGTTTTTTAATTGTGAAAAAATACAGAAAATGCAAAAGATAATGCAAGAAACCCCCATATTAACACTTTCAAAGTACTTTTCTTTATCTAATTTAAAACTCAACAGTTTGTGATATAGGCTCAGCAAGCATACCTGTTTTGTTTCTTTTTTTCTTTCTTTTTGACAGGAAGATGAGGATCCGGCGATCCAGCAGGTAAAAAGCTAGGGTTATATACGGGGGTTAGAACACAGGTATTCTCACTGTTAGGACAGGGTGCTATTCATCGTACCATGCCAACCTATCCAATAAACTTGGAAATGGGTGTGGAAATTGCTTAATAAGGAAGAACATGATTATCTCAATAATTCCTTATATATAGTCTGTAATTCTCTATGAACCCTGCAATACTGAAAGCTTAGATTCTAGATTAAATATTAAATTTAAATAATAGTAAAAACTGCTTAAGAAGAGTTTAATGAATTAATTGGAACATAGTCACATATACAAAAGAGTTTTATAAAAATAATGTTTAAAAAATAATGTTTACTAATTTAGGGCAACCATGATGTTCCAAAATAACATACCAATCTTGTTGGAATTCGTACTTTTCTGAGACTTAAAACCCGAAGACACACTAATCAGCCTATAATAAAAATACCACTTTTTCCCCTGGCTGGTGTGGCTCAGTGGATTGAGTGCCAGACTGCAAACCAAAAGGTCACAGGTTCGATTCCCAGTCAGGGCACATGGCTGGGTTACGGAGCAGGCTGCCAGTAGGGGGCGTGTGAGAGGCAACCACACATTGATGTTTTTCTCCCTGTCTTCTCCCTCCCTTCCCCTCTGTTTAAAAATAAATAAATAAAATCTTTAAAAAAGACCAATATATTTGAAAAAACATCTCTTTTTCCTATTATATCTCAGCACATTCATTTAATTCTCTGCCAACTTCAGTGAGGGAACAAATGGCACAGCAATGTTGGGAAGACTTGTGGAGCTACAGCCTTTATGTTGTATTCTTACCCTGGAAAAATGTCAGTGGGTAGGAGCAAAAAGAAGACAGCCAGAAAAATATATACACATTAGTGCCAGCATTTTTTGACCACCTAGGTTTTCTTAAGAAGTATTTTTGTGCTTATTTCCTTCGGGTACTAAAACATTTGTTGCATAGAACTAAGTTTGAATGTCATTTATTTGAGTACACCATGAACAAGGTACCTAACCAAGCTCATCAGTAAAATGTGGGTAAAACCAGAATATCCCTTACCGGTTTGTTATGAGGATTAAATGGGTTAATGTGCATAGTGTTATCTCGGGACTCCTCACTCCCGAGATTTCCCACTCAAAAACATTTTAAAACATTTTACTCATTTATTTTTAGAGAAAGGGGAGGGAGAGGGAGGGAGAGAGAGAGAGGGAGAGAGAGAGAGGGAGAGAGAGAGGGAGAGAGAGGGAGAGAGAGGGAGAGGGAGAGAGAAACATCAATGTGTGGTTGCCTTTCAAGTGCCCCCTACTGGGGACCTGGCCTGCAACCCAGGCATGTGCCCTGACTGGGAATCAATCTGGCAGCCCTTTAGTTCACAGGCTAGCACTCAATCCATTGAGCCACGCCAGCCAGGACCCACCTCAATTTTTATATACCACTCATAGATGTGGGACCAGCCTGTTCTGTGTCTCTGCCCCTCTTACCAGTCTGGATGGATATCATTTCTTTAATTCCACAGTTGTCTGACTTCCATTCAACTTGATTTCTAAGGGCTCTGAGTGATGCTGTTGTACCATTTAGTTGTAATTTTGATGTGGTTGTGTGAGGAGGCAAGCCATGTTTACCTATGCCGCTATCTTGACTGGAAGTTATTTCAAATATCCCAGTTTTTATGGATTTGCCATTTAACCTCTTTGGCTCTATTTTCTCACCTGATTAAGCCTGTTTCAAAACACTGCCATAGTAGAAAGCAAGCTGCCTCCAGTTCCTGCTGCTCCCAAATTTATTTTTAAGTATGGGGGGGGGGAACCTACTGTAAACCCTCCATTTCACTGAAGTGATATATTCCTTTCTCCCAAATAACTCTTGCATTTTACCATTTCATGTTTTTATATCATGCATTTCTATTAACAATACTCTTCCCACTCCATCAATTTTAATGCTGTCTATCCATTTATCCTTCAAGACCAAGTCAAATCCTACCTCTTCTATGAAGTAGTCTCAGATTACTATTACCCTTAACGATCTTCCATTGCCTCCTCTCAACCCACTGCAAACACAACTTGTGGTATTGGGAGGCAATGCAGAATAACAGTTAAAAAAAGCCAAGGTTTTGGATTCAGGCATACATGGATTCCCTCTCTTATGACCCCAGTTCTTAGGGAAGTTGCTTAACCTCACTAACTTTAGTCTCCTTGCTTGTAAGAGACAGGAACTAAGTTCTACTTACCTTAGAGTTGTTCAGAGAATGAATTTATATAATGTTGTTATGTTTCAGGATCCCCCAAACCAGACACAGATTAATGAATTCAATAGAAGATCTCACAGATCTTAGCATATAGTTGTATCCACAGCTAAATTTATTATAAAATAAGGATACACGACAGTATTGGCAAGGAAAAAAGACATGGAAATATAGAGAAATTCATACATAGATTTCTTTATGCTCTCTTCCTATGGTGAAGGGGAACACTTGAGCACACTTCTTTCTCACAGAAACAAAAAAATGCAGGAACATAACGTACAAGGGCCAGGGAAGCCCATTTGAGACTCAGTGCCTAAGGTTTTTATTGTCAATTAGTCATTTAGTCACCTTCCAACTAGCATGTACCAAAATTCCAGACTCTATAAAGGAAAGCAGGTGTTCAGCATAAATCACATTATTTGTACCAACAATCTAGGCAAAGTGAACTACATTAATCAGCTAGGAAAGAGAGTGAAACCAAGTTCATACACATCAGCCTAGGGCAAACTTTTTGAAAGCAGAACTTTCTAAAGATAGCAGTCTTTGTGCCTGCTATGTTCTCTTTCCTGCACAGCTTACCATAATGCTCATGTTTTAAGGTAAGTACACACCTACATTGTAGATGCCATAACATTGCAATACCATGCATCAGTTAACATTTGTCACAGATCAGGCATTAATTGTGGGCAGGGAAGGATGGGTGTGGATCTCTCTATGTATGTTAAGACAGTGTTTCTTTAAAAAAAATTTTTTACTCCTCATTCCAAGACATGTTTATTGATTGGAGAGTGAGAAAGAGAGAAAGATAGACATCAATGTGAGAGAGAAATATCAATCACTTGCCCCCTGTATGCTCTCTAACAAGATATCGAACCTGCAACTTAGGTATATACCCTGGTTGGAGATCGAACCCATGAACGTTTGGTGTATGGGAAGCCACTCCAACCACTGAGACACCCTGCAGGGCAAGGAAGTGCTTCTTAACATGTGTTCTGGGCAGGTCATGGTGGGTAGTCACACACCAGGCCTGTAACTTCTTTAGTGAAATGTTTTCAAGCAATCCCTATCCATTATTCTTGTACATCTAGGTTAACACAGCTCTGAAATGTCAGAAATAATACCACTAGAAGGCATAACCACCCTGAAAGACAGCACATAATTTTAACTATTCTGTGATCCAATCCCTGCCTTGCTTTCTCCCACTTTCACATAATTTTCCTTATGTTCCCCCCTTAATTTCAAATGTATAAAAGGAACTAAAAAAATGTTGTTCTCTGGAGAATTTTGGATCTTGCTTCTCAGAAACTGTCGTCAGTTTGGACTCAAACTTTTATTAAAATTCTTTATGTGTTTGGACATTTCTTACATCAATACTACATATATAATTAAATTGATGAAAGTCAATGTTTTTAGATATGGAATTTTTAGAATGAGAAATTAGAAAAGAGTAAACTTAAAGCAAGTAGGAGGAAGTAAATAATAAAGATTGGAATGAAAATAAATGAAATAGAGAAGAGAAAAGCAATAAAGAATCAATGAAACCAAAAGTTGATTCTTTGAGAACATCAACAAAATTGACAAACCTTTACCTACACTGACCAAGAAAAAAAGGGAGAGAAGACTCACATTACTAAACTCAAAAAAAGAACGGAGGGAAAATATTAGAAATGTGACACAAGTAAAAAGGATGATAAGCATATTATGAACTGTATGCCAATGAATTAGATAACTTAGATGAAAAAGTCAGATTTCTATGTAATCACAAACAAGGAAAGAGAAAATCTTAATAGACCTTTAACAAGCAAAGAGACTGAATTAACATTTTTAAAATTTCCAACATATAACACCAAGACCCAGATGGCTTTAGCGTTTAATTCGACCAAACATTTAAGTAAGAATTAACACCAACACTTTAGAAATCCCTCTGAAAAACAGGATACAAAAAGGGGCAAAAGATATGTATAGGTACGTCAACAAAAAGGTACGTGAATTGCCAATAAGCTCAAGAAAAAGATGTTCGATATCACTAACCACTAGGGAAATAAAAATTAAACCCACCAAGTTATACCACACACACCTAGTAGAGTGGCGAAAATAAAGAATACCAGCCCTGACCGATGTGGCCCTGTTGATTGGGCACCATCCTGCAAAGCAAAAGGTCGCCAGTTCAATTCCTGTTCAGGACACATGCCTGGGTAGTGGGTTTAGTTCCTCTTCAGGATGCGTACTAGAGGTAATTGATAGATATTTCTCCTCGTCTCTTTCCCTCTCTAAATTAAATTAAATTTAATTTAAATTTAAGTAAAATAAAATAAAACAACTGAACCTAAAAACAAAAACAGCAAATTAAGCAAACAACTAGAACAAGAACAGAATCACAGAAATGGAGATCACATGGAGGGTTATCAGTGGGGAGGGGGAAGATGGTGAAAAAGGTACAGGGAGTAAGAAACATAAATGGTAGGTACAAAATAGACAGGGGGAGGTTAAGAATAGTATAGGAAATGGAGAAGCCAAAGAACTTATATGTATGATCCATGGACATGAACTTAGGTAAGGGGGAATGCCAATAGGAAGGGGTGTGCAGGTCAGAGGGGAATAAAGGGTAGAAAAAAATGGGACAACTGTAATAGAATCATCAGTAACATATACTTAAAAATAAATTACACAATTAAAAAAATAAAATAAAAAAAGCAAGTCATTTGGGAAGAAAATAGAATAAAGTATAGCAACCCACTGTAGAGCATTAGTTTGAACATCCACATGCTTTTGCTATTAAACCTCCAAAGGTGCCCTCCATGTAAGTCTGTTTTTCAGATCAATCTTTTTGTGGATTATCAAAGCAGACTTCCCATTTTTGAGTTCTGTGTTCATTTTCTACTGTTGCTGTAAGCAATTACCACAGATTACTGGCTTAAAGCAACTCAAATTTTTTTACTTTTATTATAATTCTGTAGGTTACAAGTCTGACATGGGTCTTACTGTGCTACAATCAAGGTGTTGGCAGGGCTGCACTATCCTTCTGGGAGCTTTAGAGGTCTCTTTCCAGGTCTTTTCTACATTCTAGGGGCTGCCTACATTCCTCTGTTTGGGGCCCTCTTCCTCCATCTTCAAAACAAGCAGCGTTCCATCTCTCTGACACTGCTTCTCACCTCACAACTTTTCTCTGACACTCCCTTCTGTCTCCCTCTTCTACTTTAAAAGATGCTTGTGATAAACCAGGAAAATCTCCCCCTTTCAAATGCCATTGATTAGCACTGTTAATCCCATCTATAACCTCAATTCCCCTTTGCCATGTACATGAACAGTCACAGGTTCCAGGGATCTACACATAGATATCTTTGGGGGGACCATTATTCTGCCTATCACAAATTCTGTTGAAATCTCTCTCTCTCTCTCTCTCTCTCTCTCTCTCTCTCTCTCTCTATATATATATATATATATATATTCTATCTTTACAGTTAACCTTCAACCCTCACCTTGACTTTGCACATGTAACCAAGAAATTCTGACTTAATTAACCACTTCTTTATTAGTTAAGCAGAGACTAATCTTTTTGTAAAAACCCCAAAAGTATGTTTTCTAATATTCTCATAAAATAAATAATAAAGATCTTAGACTATATTTTTAAGATCATCTTTGTTAGAAACAAACTCCTCAACAAACTCTAAGTGTTAGACCAGCATTTTCCACTGACTGCTAAAATTTCAAAACTATTCTGGCAACTGAAAATTGGGCCTTCATGTGTTTATTACCCAAGTAAAAACAGGAAACACACTTATCCGCTCTCCAAAATCTCTCATCTACCCTCACCATTATTTCATAAAAGAACTACACCAAAAAAGGTAGAAAAGGATCTCAGAACATATACATCTTTAAATCAGCTTAATAAAAATATATTATTATTTTTCTAATTTTGATCATCTTTCTCCATTTTTTAAAAAATTCACCTTTAAAATAGATTTACCTGTAGCAACTGCACCACTGTCCACATGGGTCAACGACTGGGGGCGACTTCGAAGTTTGCTTTTGAAAGATCTTGGTCTACGTGGTGGTGACACAGGTGGAAGAGCAATCTCTGATGAAGGGATTTTGCTATTTTTGATTGCCCGAAGGCGATCATAGAGCTCCTGCAACTCCTTATTCTGCTGGGTTTGAAGATTTACCACCTCCTGAATATGTCTGAATAAAAATAATGCAGAAATCTTTTTAATGGTACTGGTAACACACAGGTGAGATGAAAATGCCACCCCAGTACAAGTAAAATTTAACAAGAAATTTGGGTTAAGAATGTGGACATACAGAATTTTTTTCACAATTTTAAAATGGGAAATGTCTTCTTAAGCATACCATTACATTAGTCAGACAGGAAGAGAAAAGGTCAACAAATTGACAGGAAAAAATTTCTAAAACTTTAATATAGTGAAAGACAGTAAAACAAAATTTAAAGTCACATAGCACTGATAATATTAACCTTTTCTTTATTATATGATGCAGGTATAAACACAAAGTATTTACACTATATAGCAAGGGGATAATATTTGGAATTATATATACTTCCTTAAAATCAGTAAGAAAAAAAAACCTTATAGAAAGAGGTGCCAAAGTGTCCCAGGTTCGATTCCCAGCTAGGGTACATTCCTGGGTTGCAGGCCATAACCCCCAGCAACCACACATTGATGTTTCTTTCTCCCTCCCTCCCCCTCCCTTCCTCCCTCCCTCTCTCTCTCTCTCCCTCCCCCCTCCCTAAAAATAAATAAATAAAATCTTAAAAAAATAAAGAAAGAACTAAAGAAAAAAAATATTAAAAAAAAAAAGAAAGAAAGAGGTGAAAGAATATGAAAAGGAGCCCTGGCTGGTGTAGCTCAGTGGATTGAGCTTGGGCTGCGAACTAAAGCATCGCAGGTTTGATTCCCAATCAGGGCACATGCCTGAGTTGCAGGCCATGGCCCCCTGAAACTGCACATTGATGTTTCTCTCCCTCTCCCCCCTCTCCCCTTCCCTTCCCTCTCTAAAAAATAAATTAATAAAGTCTTTTAAAAAATTAAAAAAAAAAAAGAATATGAAAAGGTGACTCCAAAGAAAATGAAATACCAATAGTCAATAAATATGAGCTGATGTACAACCTTAATTAGGAGAATACAATTTTAAAAATTAATTAGTCTGTAATAAATCTGAAAGGATCAATAATATCCAGTCCAATACTGTAAAGAAGTGGAAAATAGGCACTTTCATATATTTTGGTTTTGTGTGCAAAATAGTATAATGGCATTTGATGACAATTTTAGCAATATTTATCAATTTAAAATGTACACATCTTTAACCCAGCAATTCTACTTGTAGGTATTAATACTATAAAAATACTTGCATAAATATGTAAACAATAAGGATTTTCACTTCAACATTGTTTACACAAGCAAAACATGGGATAAAACAGAAATGTCTATTAAGAAGAGATTGAACAAACTTTAAATGGCTACATGCAATTTCAGTGTATGAAATAAAGATTATTTGTGCAAATATGAATATATATACATGAGAATGTTAAGTAAAAAAACTGTAGGATAACATGTATATTATGATCTCACTTTTGTCAAAAGTAAAAACTATGTATTTATAAATGCATAGAAAAATGACAGGCAATATACATAAACCAAACAGTTCATCGTGGTTGCCTCTCAGAAATCAGATTAGGACATGAGAAATAGGAGATTGTTTTTTGTGTTTTCTTAACTGTTGCGATTTTATGATTTATAATTAAAAATATATATATATGGTCTTTGTCGCTGTTCCTGGCACACAGCTCCTAAAACCTTTGTAATTTCCTGAGTGATAAGAGCAATAGGAGAATCTTGTTATATTATTTGATCTTTTGTCCTCAAATAACTACAGTTGCTGAAATAGCTCTAGAATGATAAAGATGAAAGGAGTGTCTTGTTATTTATAACAAGAGATGATTCACAACCTCACATTGGAGTCTAGGTCAATGAGTGACTTTTGGAAAAGCCTCTAAGCATGTAGGCTGGTTGCCAGGTGAACCATCCAAGTGATTACAGGGTGGGAAATTTCAGCCCCTTCCCCTCCACCTCTATTAAGGGCAGAGGCTGGAGATTGGATTAATCACCAATAGACAATGATTTAATCAACCATACCTATAAAGATGAAGCCTCCATAAAATTTCCTGAATTATGGGGTTCAGAGAGCTTCCAGGTTGGTGAACACTGAGGAAGTGGTGGGTGAGTGGCACTCATGAGAGGGCAAGGAAGTTCCACGCCCCTTCCCTTATACCTTGCCATCGGGCTGTTGAGTTGTATCCTCTTATAATAATTAACCCACCAACCTACTAAGTAAACTGGTTTCCTGCATTCTATAAGCCACTCTAGCAAATTTATCAAACTGAGGAAAGATTTGTGGGAACCTCCAATTTATAACAGGCTAGTCAGAAGCATACGTAATATTACCTGGGCTAGTGATCGGCATCTAAGGGGTGACAGTATTGTGGCACTGAGTTCATTACCTGTTGGATCTGATGCTATCTTGGTAGTTTTGAATCAGAAAAGTTTTCAGTCATTAAATTTGTCACCAGTCCTAAATTAGCAAACAATCTAACACCTAGTTCTATAAAACCCAGGGCAACTAGACAGGTGACAAAAGAGAGAGTGTTCTTACTTTTTCCGTAATCTTTGAAGCTCCACCTTTAAGTCCTCATCTTCTATTTCTGATTCATCATCACTGCTCATTGGGGAAGATGGCGAATAGAAAAGTGAGCTCTGTCTTTGAGTGTAGGCTTTTTCTTCATGGAGTGGTAAGCACTGATTACTCTCTGGACAAGGCTTTGCTACTGAGCTCCCTCTGCCAGCAAGAGAGGCTGAAAATTCACTATCAGACCTAGGTTGTTTCCCAACAGTAAGTCTGTCTTTCTCTTTAGGCAAATGATCAGACCCAGACGGCATGCTACTTCCTGTGGCTGAATTTTCTTCCAATTCCTTTTCGGGGGTTATTGAAGAGACATCAGTCTCACAAGCTGTGTTGAAAGATGAGAAGTTGTCGCTTTGTTTAGGAATTCCTTTATCTTCCTTAATTGTTTCATGAAGGGTTTGTAACTTCTGAGGAGAAAATAAAGTTTGTGGGTTGTGTGTGGCAGGTTCCATTTCAACCAGCTGAACCTTTGCTGTTTCAGTAGAGGGTAGAGCTTCTTCACTAGAATGGCTTGTCATTTCAGTGAAGGCTGGTCTGTGTTCTATTCCAAAAGATGCCACTTTCACTGGCTGCTGCTGAGGAACTGTAATCACCTGAGATACAAAAAGTCAAAAGTGGCTGGCTCCACCTAACTAAAGAGTAAACCCACAAAAGAAATTCAATATCAATATATGGCACAGAAAAGTGGATGCTCTGCTTGTGATATGCACATATAGATAATAACAAAACTAAAATCCTATCTTACTCCCCATATTCAAAGGCTTTTAATTGATCTTGGGTAAAGACAGCTGGCTTCCTGCTGCTCAAGCGAAAGTACACAATTAAAAGAAATTCTATAATTAAAGATGCCAAGATTCTAAAAGACATGAAATTGGATTTATAAAAAAGATGACCCAACCTCCCACAGAAAGTTAATGATACATTTCTGTGTTCTCTTAGAGCTACTAAAATCCCCATTTCTTTACACACCTTTATTGAGTGGCTTCAAAAGGTGAGGGGATGAAAATTAAATATGATAATGATCTACATTTAAAATAAGTATCATCTAAAGACCAATGCATTTAATGCTGTTACTTGTTATAATGTCCTTGTAGATAAGGATTCAACCAAAAATACAAACCTGGAACCGACCCCGCTGAAATGATCCACTCACTGCTTTACATCTACTCAAAGCCCTAGTATCAGCTGTGGACTCTCCTGTCAGAGGAATGGGTTCAGGAGCAACTGCTGACCTCATATCTTCTGTTTCCACTGCAAGTTTTGCAAAATTGTAAGCAGAAAAGAGAAAATCATTTAAGACTAAATTTGTTGACATTACCAAAAATGAAAAGTAGAAAACACTCAACTCCGGCTAGACAATTAAAAACTGTTAATGTAATAAGCAACATTGTAGAAGTCCCTAACTCTAAATCACACATGGCAAGACTTATCCCAAGACACAGCATCTATATGAAATGAATAACTATAAAAACAAATTATTTATAAAAGGAAAAATAAAAATGGCAATGACATTAATGGGATGTGTCACATACATGGGCTATGTGGAAAAAGTGACAACATTGGTGTATGAACAAAAAAACCCAAAAAACAAAACAGAAGTAAATGAAAAATGATGTTACCTAGTCTATGTCCCTGACTGTAAGCACACTACCTTGACGGACTTTTGATCTCTTGAAAAAGCTGGTTGACTGCCGTAGCCTGTATGCCCAGCTTTTTAATTTTCGAGTCCAGGATTTCTTGCTAATAGGATTTTTGAGACTAGGACAAGTAAAGCTTAGGCCAAAATATCCACCTCCTGTCTGCAGATGAATGGCTCCACCTCTTGACACATCAGCAGGATAGGTCTCTGGGTCCCCCGGAGGTGAAGCATCTGAGGACGTCTCCTAATGGGGACAAAAAGAGAAAAATGAAAATAATAATAAATTAGGTAAGGTGGGGCAGTTGTTTAGACCATTGTAGTTTCTTATATGGACTAATCAGTAATTAAAAATAAAATGCCATGTAATATTTGCATTATAGTACAATTTCAGACTGAACCTAAAGTATTCAATGTATAGGAATTAACCGTTCCCCTTACTTTAAAAATATTATTTAGACTTCAGATAAATAAAAGGACAGAATATTAACCTCCTGCCCTAGAATATTTTTCGTATAGCAAATTTGAAAACTGAAAATTGAAATTCAAATTATTTTCTTCATATGCACCAATTTTTCTAAAACAGGTTACTGAAACCCTATACTCTCAAACTGAAAACTTTTATTTCTGCTTGTTATTCAAAAGAATTAAAGATGTTTGACATAAATGATAACATAGGAAAACAAGATGACTAGACATTTAGATGTACAAGGAAATATAACCAAATCAAGTTTCTTTCTTTATGTAAACACACAGAAATTTACAAAGGATCTCACAATTATTTCAACTTCATACTCTAAATATTAACATCAGGCCACAGTTGGCAATAAAATCATACTTCCCTCTTTTTTTCTTCTTAGGAGAGCCCCCCACTTTAGACCCTAGGTGCTGTGTTCCTGCCACTCACCGGGCTCTGGGATTGATCAGTGACCATTACACATCCATAGGCATCCTTCATGTGTCTCACTGAACTTTTTCAAAATTGCTCTTCCTCATAGTTTCTAGTCCTGCACTGAGTAATTATAAACAGTAATGTGGGATCCTTTAAAAAGTGTTTACTGTCCTAGCTGGGGTAGCTCAGTGGATTAAGTGAAGGCCTGTGAACCAAAGGATTGTTGGTTTGATTCCCAGTCTGGGCACATGCTTAGGTTCTGGGCCAGGTCCCCCATTGGGGGCATGTGAGAGGCAACCACACGATATTTCTCTACCTCTCTTTATTTAGCCCTTCTCCTCTCTCTAAAAATAAATAAATGAAATCTTTTTTAAAAAGAGTATTTAAAAGCCAAAGAATGGGATTTAGCATTTCTGAAGGAAGATAGTCTAAGCAACACTAAGTATACTGCAATCTTGAATAAGAACTATTAACACTTAGAGTAGATCAGCAGTTACTGAAAATATAATTCTGAACAATCAGTTTTTATCTTCCAAGGTCCTATTTTGGAATAGTAATAATGCTACCATCATAAAGAGGAAAAATGTTCTCAATAATAGTATAATTTAGGAAGTATAACATTGGTCTCACTGAAATTATAGAAAAGATTTTTTATAAGTAATAACAGGATCAATAAACTAAATACAAGTGATAGCATCCTTTACCAATTCAAACCCATAGACATGACAGGAAAAAGAGATGCAGACATATTCATATATAATTAGATCAGGAAAAAAGAGCCCAGGATATACATATGCAGGAACTATTTCAAAATGCCATAGTTCAAATGGCAGATATGGGCAGCAAGAGAGGGTCCTGGCCAACCAAAAGGATCAGTGGTTGGCTAGAATGCTTATGAAGTTCTATATGATCTGTCTCCTACTTGCTTCTAAAACATCATCTCCTAACATCCTCCTACATACTGGCCTTATTTGTGTTCCTTGAATACGTCTCCAACTGTGAATGTCACCACCAAGTAAATGCAAGTCCGTCCTTGACCACCATATATAAAGTTATCCCCTAGTCTTTCTATCATAGATCTTTACTTCAATTACTTTATATTTTTAGGTTCTCTCTTCCCCTACACCCCAGAATGTGAGCTCCACAAAAACAGATCTGGACTTATTCACTGCCTAATAGATACTCACTGAGTGGAAGAGTGAACTGCTTGGGTACCAAAGAAGGAACAAACAGGAAGGTGTGGTCCTTCCCTTCCTACCTCCACAGCAAACAAAACACAGCAGAGGTATCTGCTCCCAAATAAGAGTAATAAGAGGAAAATGTTTGTGGCCAAGAGAAAGGTCAGCAACATAGGGAGGAGACAACATCCAGGAGGAAGGGGAAGCTCTTCTAACTTTGAAGACTACTGGGCCACCCTCCAGGAAGCATTACAGACAAGGTATAATCCAGTGCCAGTAACAATGTCACATGCCTTTCTTGAAATTACTGGAGGAAGGGTACATTAATTATGTATATTATTTACAGAGTGACAAACAAGAAATCTTAAGGAGGAAAAAGAAGATTATGAAAGTAAGAATCACCAAACACTTATAATAAGAAAATAACATTAATAACATAAAGTAATACTTAAATATCTTCAAGTGATGTGTGAGTATACAATAGCCATAAGAAAAAGAATGAAGTACAGTTACTAGAAATTACAAACATAATCGTTGACATAAAAATCTTGCTGAAGAGGATATTGGAAACAACTTTTAAAAATGAGAAATTCTTCCACTACAAAAACCAAAAGGGACAAAAATGGAAAGCATGATATGAAAAATTAATGGATAGGAAAAACAGGAAATGAAGAAATAAACTACTACTATTCATAGATGATATGATCTTATATAATATATAGAAAATCCAAAATAATACACCAAAAGCTCTTAGAGATAATAAAGAAATCCAGTAAAGTTCCAGGATACAATTTAACTCTTCAGTTGTATTTCTATAGTGTAGCAATGACAAATCTGAAAAGAAAATTAACAAAAGAATTCCATTTATAACAACAAGGAACAACAAGTGGTGCTGGAACAACTGGTTAGCCACATGGAAAATAATGAAACTGAACCCTTACCTCATACAATATAAAAAAACGAACTCAAAATGATCCTACCATACGTACTTAATCAAGTGTGAAGCAAAATAAAGACATTTTTCACATTAAAAAAAAGTTTCATTGATATATGTTTCCACATACTCTAAAGTTAGCCCATTTAAACTACAGAGTTTAGTAGGGTTTTCTAAATTGAATTTATTGGGGTGACATTACTTTACAAAACATAGAGGTTTCAATTATACAACTCAACAAAATATCAAGATTAAATTAAAATCATAGTATTCTTTTTTTAACAGCTTTACCAAAACAATCTCCATTTTATTTTATATTTTTTAAAGATTTTATTTATCTATTTTAGAGAGAGGGGAAGGGAAGGAGAAAGAGAGGGAGAGAAACACCAATGTGTGGCTGCCTTTTGTGAGCCCCCCACCAGGAACCTGGCCCACAACCAAGGCATGTGCTCCAACTGGGAATTGAACTGGCAACCGTCTGGATCGGAGGCCAGCACTCAATCCACTGGGCCACACCAACCAGGACTAAAACCAAGATATTCTTAAAAAGGAAACATAACAGGCATTTTTAAGTGGAAATCTAAAATTACATTCTTCCATTCCTAATTGGTATAATTCACTTGGTTGGGTGTCATCCTGGAAATCAAAAGGTTGCTAGTTTGACTCCCAGTCAGGGCACATGCAAAGGTTGTGGGTTCGGTCCTGGTTGGAGCACATTCGAGAGGTAAATGATCGATGTTTCTCTTTTACATCGATGCTTGTCTGCTTTTCTTTCTCCCACCCTTCCCTGCTTTCAAAAATAAAGTTTAAAAAAATTTAAAGATTTTATTCATTTATCTTTAGAGAAGGAGGGAGAAAGAAAGGGAGAGAAACATCAGTGTGTGAGAGAAACATCGTTGCCTCTCACATAACCCCAACTGGGGACCTGGCTGCAACTCAGGAATGTGCCCTGACCAACCGGGAATCGAACTGGCCATCTTTCAGTTTGCAAGCCGACACTCAATCCACTGAGCCACACCAGCCAGGGCTAAAAATAAATAAACTTTTTAAAAAAAGTAAATAAAATATAAAAGTAAGTTCTTCCTACCCACTAAAAGTAAATCTATAAATGAGTCCTGCTCTTGTCCTAAATACAGAACTAGACATTGTTTTAAAGTTCATAGCTAATTCACTAGAGGGCTCTCTCACCAAAGATCAGTCATCATTATTGAGAAGTTTGGGGCACTTGCAACCGAGTCATGACATTCTTAAATACCTGTGACATCAGAATCTTGTGACATGGAAAATTTCATTCCAGAGAACAAAACTTTAGAAAAGAATGCTTTTCTTTAAAGGCATAAGGATAAGGAATTGTTTAGAAAGAAGTATACTTACATGTAAACATAATTCGCTGGGTACAGAAGTTATCACATTCAGGTCCCTTTTGAACACTGACATGATAGCAGGCTGACTGGCAGCCACATTGGACAGAATCTTAGAGCCTGTCTGCTGAAAATTAGGGGACTGTGAAGAACTGTCTTGAATTCCACAGTGACTGATGGCTATGACTTCTGGCACTGGACATGAGAGTATATCTTCAGCACAGGAAGAAACTGGAGAGTCTATGTTTTGGGTATCCTTCTGGCTCTCGGGATAGACACTAGTTATGCTATGCTCCTGATAGAGCAAGTTTCTTAATTTTTCATCCAGAGTTTTAATTCGGTTATCTGCAAACTCCATTTTTGGAGGTCTTTCCCCATCTGATTCCAGGACAGTAGTGGGTAGAAGGGTAGTCGGTTCAAGGCTGGGGGTCTGAGTGGAGACAACCATCTTAGGAGAACTTGCTTCAGTGTTCACTGTGGTTTCTCCTTCTTGGGATATAAACTCTGCATCTATGGTTGGCTGCTGCACTGATAAGGACTGAGACTTCTGATCAGACATAAATGCTGAAGTTCTAAGAGAGTTACCAGCAATATGAGTTGACTCGCCAGGAGGTGCCATAAGTACATTAGCCTGACTGGAAGCTTGGTGACATGGATTCACAGGTAGAAATATTCCTGCTTGGTTGGTGAGCCCCTCACATTCAACTGGAACAGTATGAACTGAAGTAGCAGTGTAAGTGGAACTACTAGCAACAGGTGTCATTATATCCCTGTCATCTTCCACTTGATAAAGTATAGCTGGTTGCTTAGTTTCTACACTGGCACATTCAGAAATCTTACCATCAACTACATCCTTGTGTTCTGACTTGGAGGTGAAAAGTACACGCTGGGATGGATTATTTTCTAGAGTGAGCAGTGTATCCTGTGATAAATCCTTATTATTTATTTTTCTTGGACCTGGAACAGTAACAAAGAATGGCTGAGCACATATTAGTAAGCACAAAGCATGGACTACTACACAAACTCAAAGGGGACAGGAAGACCAAAGGACAAATGAGAAATTATGTGAAAGTACCTAGGTGTAACTAGGTCTCACAATGCACAGAATTGAACCTGTCAAAGAAAAAAAAAAACCTTTTCTTTTTTTCATAAGTACTAAATAAAAATGGTTTAAGATATACCCTGGCATTAACATCCAGAAAATGCTTATGAAAATTCTCTTAAGCACAAAATTCCCATGTAAACAAGTTGAAGATACAGTCCACATTTTGCAACCCCACCCTCCAAGTCTGGATAAAGTCAACAGAAAATAAACGCTTACTAGAAAGTGGATACAGCCCAGGAACTGTAGACATGGACTGCTGAAGAGAAGGAGGGGATTGAGCTTCACGGTTTCTTATTGTTTGATTGATACAGAATCGCCACCGACCAACTGGGGATGACTGAGGAACAGATTCATCTGTAGAAAGAATTAGCAAAATTTAGTATGCTAAGCAGTTGTCAGTATGTTTACCTTATTGATTAAGGAAACTAGGTTAAAATACCAATTTCTCTTGTATCTCCATTTCTAACAGCACTAGGATGTAATTTTTTTAAGAACAGAACTGCAATCCTGACAAATACTCTAAAGAACTAAGTAAACATAAGATATTGTTAAAGAAGGGTTTTAGATTCTACTAAAACAAACATTATATCAATAGGAGTTAGAAGCAAGACATTTTTAGGGAGAAAAATGGGAAGTACTTTTACCATTAAGACCTACATTTCCTATTCTTTATGTTGACCATGGTGATGCCTTCAGAAATCTACATAAGTATTAAAATGTACAGAACTGTATGCCAAAAGAAAAAATTCAAATTTTACTGTATGACAACTTAAAAAGTAAAGTAAAATAAGCCCCTATATCTTTACTCCTACTTTGTAAACTTATTCAAGTAATTCTTTTTTAAAAGATGCCATGGTTTGTCAGTGAGATATCCACTCAGACTCATGCTAATGAGAAAAAGAACATAGAGGAAGACCCTGGCATTCTAACACAAACCAAATTTCAGGGTAATGGTATCTGCTTCCATGACTCCCACACCACCTGTTGCTTCTTCATGTTATAATTCCTTCCGAGGTCCTCATTCGTTATGGCTCTTCTCCCCCTCCCAGATACTCTAAATATATCTATGACCAGAGCTGAGAAGAATGGAGAGATAAAGCCACCAGAGAAAAAGAAAGGATCCCATTTTTAGTCCTTGGATTTTTATCTAGTATCTGACTTACAAAACTTAGCGATCAGAGCAAGGAGAAACATATAGCTGTTGGAATAAAATCATACCAATGACTATTAGAACATGAGGTAGACTGAAGAACATGAGGTAAACTTAGAACATAATGATCTTAGTTAATATTTCTGTCCGCCCTGGCCAGGGTGGCTCAATTGGCTGGAGCACCATCTCACAAATAAAAAAACTGCAGGTTCAACCTGTGGTCAGGGCACAGGCCTGGTTTGCAGGTTCAGTTCCCAGTTGGGACACCTAAGAGAGGCAATTGATTGATGTTTCCCTCTCACATTAATGTCTGTCTTTCTCTGCTTCCCGCCCCCTTCCTCTCTCTCTCTAAAACCAATAAGCATGTCCTTCGGTGAGGGTAGAAAAAAAACCCCAAAATGTTTCTATCTATCTCCTATTAGGGAGGAAAAAAACTTACCACTAAAGTTCAAACATGATAGCCATTAAGGCACATCAGTACTGTGACTACTTTTTGTGTAACATACCATGCAGCAACTCAGAAATAAGTTGATCAGATAAAGAACCAAGACTTGAAGAAAAATTGGAGAATGGTTTTAATTCTTCTATACTTTCTTCTGGGATATAAAGTCCTTTCAGACTGTGGGAAAACCTACATTAACAACTTAATAAATTCTTTTATTGGCTAACACCTTTGCAAATGAAGACGTATAAATTCAAAGTTCCAAATGCCTCAATTCCAATGCCAAATGGTAAATTTTATTAAATATACTTACTGCTGGTTTGAGTGGATGCAGAATTTATCTGTACTTGTTCAGATGATCCTGTCTGAATTAAAAATGAATAGATAAATGAAGAAGTTCCTGATACATATCCCAGAACACCTATTTACTAAGCAATTGATCTTACTTGGCTACTGTTGGATTCCACATTAACAGAGTCAACTCCAGTGGTTTTATCTGCAGCAGAGTGGACATGAAGAATCTCCTGGGCTTGACCTACGATAGCCCTCAATTCTTCTACAAATTTTTCTTTCTCACTTTCCAGCACAAAGTTATCTTCCACCTGTCCAAAAGTAAAAGTAAGTCTATTTATGAGAGTGAATTTAGTTTCTTCAAAATTATAATATCAATGACAACCCTTAAGAAAAATAAATTAAAATGAAATATTTATATACAAGTGCCTCAAGAGAATTAACAAAGACCAGGATTAGAAAGCAACACAACATATTAAATTATTCTTTCTATTTTCAGACTACTGACATTTGTCAGGTTTGCATTACCCACAAGAGAAGAAGCCACCATTTAAGCATTCTATTAACTGATTGTCATTTGAAGGACATAACCGAGGTATTGCTTATGTTTAAAACTAGATGTTCGAACCCAAAAGCTTTTAAATCATTAATTGCAAAATGAAGCATCTCTGAAGATGATAAAGAACAGACTAGAGACCGTTCAGAAAATACTATGTCAGACAAGATGGAGAACTGACAAAATGTTTAATTTTTTTAATCTAGGATTTTCTAACAAAGATTATTTATTTATTTATTCATTCATTCATTTATTTATTTTTAGAGAGGGGGGAAGAGGGCGAAAGAGAGGAAGAGAAACATCAATGTGTGATTGAATCTTCCATCCCCCTACTGGGGACCTGGCCCGCAGCCCAGGCCTGAGCCCTAACTAGGAATCTAACTGGTGACCCTTTGGCTCACAGGTTGATGCTAAATCCACTGAGCCACACCAGCCAGGGGTAGTATGTTTAATTTTTAAAATGTTTACTACTGCTTGGCCAAAAAAATGTATCTCCAAATAAATGTGGCAGAAACGAAAGAATTATGGCTCTAGCCACATAGCTCAGTTTGTTGGAGCATTGTTCCGATATGCCAAGGTTATGGGTTTGATCCCTGGTCAGGACACATACAAGAAGCAACCAATGAATTCATAAATAAGTACAACAACAAATTGATGTTTCTGTGTCCTTTCATCTTTCTCTAAAATAAAATTAAAAAATACACATTATATAGTCTTTCTGACACCCTAACCTATCCCCACTTTTTAAAAGTGGAAAATTCTAACTTAATTCTATTAATTCAAAGAAATATGAAAACTGAATGAAATAATGAACATTACTTAAACAACCAGATATAAGATATTCTATCAGTAGCTAACATACTAGAATTACCTGGTAACTTTACAAACAATTGATGCTTAGGCCTCATGTCCAAAGATTCTGTTTTACTTAAGGGCCCAGGGAATTATTTTTCAAAAGTTCTTCAGGTAATTTTAACATGCATCCAGGGATAAGAAGCACTGACCTAAAACATCTTTTAATGAAACACCTTCATATTCTGCAGATAAATATACTGAAACCAGAGAAGGAACACTGACTTCATCTTGATCACAACCAATTTAGTTCTGTCCAATTTAAAAAAAAAATACCCTAAATAGAAGATGGCTCTGAATAAATGGGAGAGGAGTTAGAAAAAAAGAACAGTAAACACTGAAATGAAAATGATTTAGACTTATTGTACTTACCATATAGTCTGCTATATCCTCTGGTGTATCACCATCAACATCAAACTTGAAAGTCACCATCTTGTTATTGTGTGTCTCCAGTTGACATTCCACCATGTTGTCTCCAGAGGTTGATACCTAGGCATAAACATTTTACCACCAGATTAAGAATCAATCATTGTGGGAATAATCAACATAGTTAAAAGAGCCCTCTTCCCCAAAGTAATATACAGATTTAATGTGACCCCGATTAAAATCCCAATGTCATTTTTTAATGAAATAGAAGAAAAAAATCCCAATATTTGTATGGAACCACAAAGACCCTGAGTAGCCATAACAATCTTGACAAAAAAAGAACAAGGCTGGAGCTATCACACTTCCTGACTTCAAATTATACTACAAAATGAAAATAACCAAAACAACACGGTATTGGGGGAAAAAACAGACACACAGACCAATAGAATAGAATTGAGAGCCTAGAAACAAACCGACATGCATATGGGAAAATAATTTTCAACAAACAAGCCAAAAACATACAACAGAAAAAAAGAAAGCTTCTTCCATAAATGGTGCTAGGAAAACTGGAAAGCCACATACAAAAAGAATTAAACTAGACTATGGATTGTCACCACACACAAAAACTAACTCAAAACAGATCAAAGACATACATATAAGACCTGAGAAAATAAGTTACATAGAAAAACAACATAGGTATTATACTTAGGGACCTTGGTCTTAGAGAGGATTTTATGAATGTGATTTCATAGGCCAGTGAAATAAAAGCAGAAATAAATGAATGGGATTATTTCAAACTAAAAAGCTTCTGGATAGCAAAGGACACAATCAGCAAAACAAAAAGGAAACCAAAATGACTGAAAGTATAGCTTTGCAAGCAATACCTCTGATAAGGGGTTTATATTCAAAATACATAAAAAACTCATACAACCAAACAACAGAAACAATCAAATTAAAAAATGGGCACAGGACCTAAACACTCACTTGTATCCTAAGAAGACATACAATTGGCCAAAAGACATATGAAAGGATATTCAACTTCACTAGCTATAATGGCAATGCCAATCAAAACTACAATGAGATACCAGCTCACACCTGTTAGGATGGCTATTATCAACAAGACAAGTAATAACAAATGTTGGAGAGGTTGTGGAAGAAAAGCAACCCTCATTCACTGAGGGTTGTAATGTAAACTACTACAGCAATTATGGAAGAACATTATGGAAATTGCTAAAAAAATTAAGAACAGAGCTATAGTATCCTTCTGGGTATCTACTCAAAATTTTGGAAACATTTATTCACAAAGATATATGGTATCCCTATGTTCATTATAGCACTATTCATGATAGCCAAGAAATGGAAACAATTGATGTGTACCCCAGTAAATGATTGGATGAAGACATACACACAGACAATGAAATAATACCCAGCCATAAGAAAAGATGAAATGCTGCATTTTGAGACAACATATGATACCATACTAAGTGAAATGAGTCACATGGAAAAAGCCAAGAACCATATGATTTCACTCATATGTGGCATAAAAAACTAAAAGCAACAAAGTGAACAAACAAGACAAACAATACCTCATAGATATTTCCCACAATATGGTAGTTACCAAAGGGAAAGTGGGTGGGGAGAGGTAGTAAAGGGTAAAGGGGATCAAATATACTGTGATGGAAGCAGATCTCACTTTGGGTAGTAAACATACAAAGCAATATACAGATGATGTACTATAGAATTGCATACCTTACACCTACATAATTTTATTAACCAATGTTACCCCTATGAATGTAATGAAAAATTTTTCAAAAGACTCAATCATTCTCTTCTCATTGCAAATGCTACAGGGAACATCTAGATAACCTCACATACATTACATGGGGAAATGGTTTTTAAGTTGCTCAGAATCTAAAAAGATTGTTTTTTCCCTTCCTGAAACACTGGCTACATAACCATTTTATGAAATATCTAAGGCTCAAATTACTCAGGAAAAAATAAGTTACAAATGTGACCAATGGGGAAGAAAAGGGAACACAACTTTTATAAAAGGGCAAAAAAAAGAAAAGAATAGTCACTAAAGCCATCTGCAATGCAGATATTTAAATTTGGTCATTCATTTCCAAAATTCTCTTAATCCCACACAAAGTGGTTCTTTTTTATATATACATAAATTATTTTGTTGGTGTTCAATTACAGTTGTCTATATTTTCTCCCCACCCTTTCGCCTCTCCAAACCCACCTCCCTTCCTTACTTCCACCCTACCCCTTGGTTTTGTCCATGTGTCCCTTATAGTAGTTCCTGAAAACCCTTCCCCCACTGTCCCCTCCCCACTCCCCTCTGGCTATTGTTAGACTGTGCTTAATTTCAATGACTCTGGTTACATTTTGTTCATTCTTTTTTAAACAATTTCACTTTACTTATTTTTGGAGAGAGGGGAGGGGTGGGAAAAAGAGAGAGAAACATCAATGTGTTGTTCCCTCTTGCTCACCCCCTACTGGGGATGTGGCCTGAAACCCAGACATGTGCCCTGACAGAGAATCAAACCAGCAACTCTCTGGTTTGCAGGCCCACGCTCAATCCACTGAGCCACATCAGCCAGGGCTTCAAATTGACTCTTTTAATCAAAAGACAATGTACTGCTACTGGAAATGTAAGCTGGTCCAAACTTCCTGGACAGTGATATAGCAACGTGTAATCTTCATACTCTTTGACCCACTAATTTTACTTCTAGACATCTAACATAAGGAAAAAATCAGGGATATGTACAAAGATTCGTGCTCAATGGTGTTTGTTGCAGAGATGGAGATGGAGAGACAGGCACAAAGAGAGAGAGAAGAAATAAGAAAAATGACAGACTGATAGAAAGAGGCAGACAAATATGAAGAAAGAAACAACCTAAATAAAAAACCTAAATAAAGAACAGAAAGGAGATGGCGACTGTGCTCCAGACAGCGTAATTCTCGGCTTCTGTGAAGAGGAAGTAAACTCGCGGATCCGTGGAGGCACAGAGCAAGTGACCTAGGTTACCGAAACATTTTTGAAAACAGTACATCAAAAATTATAGCGATCACTGAAAAACCAGACGGTAAGGAGACTTCTTCAGGACAAAAAGGAGGCAGGGATCAGTGCGGGGACCAGAGGGATTGCAGTCCCCAGGCCCAGTGCGCTGCTCCCTCCCCGGACTATGGGGCTTGAGCAACACCAGGGGAGACCTTGTGGCTTGAAGGCATAGAGAGGGCAGTTGGACTGGGAGACAATCGCCCAGGGGCTGTAAGCACCCACCCATAGCACTGGGAGAAGTGAGCGCCTCCACCCAGCACGACCAGGGGTGGCCTGGAAGTGCGCCCGCACCCCTAGCCCAGTGGGAGTATGGATAGGTGGAAAACCCAGACCTCGCAGCCCTACTCAAGGAAAGGGCACGGGTGTTCTCGGGTTTCTGGAGCCTGCGGTGGTGAACTGTGGAAGTGTACGCCCCCTCCGGAATCTAGACTTTTGCACTGTGAACCCGGAAGGGACGCGGCACTTAGAGTGTTCCTAGAGCCCTAAACTCAAAAATTTGGTGGATGGGCGTGCCCTTTTACGATCCCCAGAGATTGCACCGTGAATCCAAGAAAGTCGCAGGTGCCTCCCGAGAACAAAGCGCCCGCTATGGTGGAATTTGGGGGAAGGGCACGTCTCCCTGCAATCCCGGGAGCTTCCATCTTGAAACCGAAAAGACGCAGGAGCCCTGTGGGCCCCAGAGCCCGGGAGACGGCGGCAGTGCCTAGGGCCCTGTAGGGGAAAGTCGGATTGGCCCTGGGGAGAGAACCCTGATGGCCCTGGGGATAGTACCTGAGACACTTACTGAGATTTGACTGGGAAGAATGATAAGCATTTCAAACGCCCCTCAGCCTGCTGCAGCTAACAAGACCAGAAAAACTGGTCTGGCCAGTTAGAAACCAACAAGAGGTTGTTTTGTTTTGTTTGTTTTGTTTTGTTTTGTTGGCTGTTGTTGGTTGATTGTATCTTGTGTTTTAAGTGACTTTTTATTTTTCAATACTTATTATTTTTATATCTCTCAATCCCTTAATGTTCTCTTCCATTCATCCTAGTATTATTCCTTTCACTCGAAATTTATCTCTCCTGCACTCTATCTTCTCCTTTTCCCCCCTTTTTTTTCTGAGCTTGCAAGTTGCTGCAAATTTGTATTACCTTTTTCTCACTTTTGTGACATTTTTTATTTTAATATTATTTTGGTATTCTTTTTCTTTCTGTATAATATTTTTGGCTTGGCTGGTTATACTGTCATTTGATAGGTTCCCCCTGTTATCTCAGTCACAGTGTGTTGATAATTTACTGTCCTGAATTTGTGTTCCATTAGTACACCTCTCAAGGTTCTATACTCCTTATCCTTGTTATCTAGATCTCATAGATTTTGCCACATGATTGTTGCTTTAATATTACTGTAAATAAGACCTGGTTCAAACAATTGTAAATACTACTCAACACCCCACCCTGATGTCAGCCCACTTCACAATTTCCTGAACTATATTATTCTGGGGGTTGTCTGTATTCTTTTACACACTACTCCTATTTACTAATCTTTATTCCCACCCTACCTCAGAATCTGACCTCCCACAGCCTCACAGCTTTCTAGATCCAACTAACAATCCTTTTGTGCCCAATAAGAGTGTTATCTTCTTTCCATCCTTTCTAAAATGTGCCTAGTGGGATGGAAGATCACGGATAACACTATAAGTAGCCAAAGGATATCCCATCTCTTCTCTACTGGCTGCTAATATAAATATCATAGAATACTGTCTTGCTGTCTTAAACCATTTTTTGCCTTATTCCTCCAACTCATCACACAAAAGAGTAGGGGTAAGCTGTGAACACCAGGATACACGAAGGAGACCGCACCAGTGAATCTCATAGTATTCTACCACAGAAGTTCACACCATAATCACAGGGAACCAGAACAGATCAATTTAAGAAACAGAGGCTAACAAGAAGAATCCCACGAACAATAATAAAACAAAAAAAAAATCCCCAATTGAAGGAAAAGGAGGAAGCCTCAGAAAAAATGCTAAATGAAATAGAGGCAACTCAACTATCAGATATTGAGTTCAAAACAATGATT